GAACTCACAATTACTATGCCACTAAATTCACAAACCAATGCTTTAATCCTTTATGTTATTGTGATGAGGACAATAGGCTGAATGTAAATAATAACTTAAATCCTAGAAATCCAAACAGAAAATAGTGAAAATATATTCCAAAAATTAAAGCATTGTTACATGATGAGTAATACTTTTTCTTTTCTTTTTTTAATGGTATGTCCCTTAAGGAAATGAATGAACATGACTCTCAACTAATTTCTTTATTATTTGTAAATTACCATGAATTCTTGGTAAATCGATTTCCTATTGTCTTCATCAGTTTTGAATTAAGCTTCTCTTAGACTAGTTACCATCCAAGACTAAAGATTATAATCTACCTTGCTATTTAACCCAGAGTTTAGAGGAGAAAAGACGATGCTTTTCCAAAAGGTATTTGTGTAAAAGTGAATGCAACAGCCTAGACCAGAATTGAACATGATTTGCCAATTTCACTTTTTGTGCTGATATACATTACACAACCCACACATCCCGAGCACCCCTTTTTTTTTTTAAATGTATAAGGATGAAGTTAGAAGAAGTAGGCAAATCCAAAATATATTCTGAACAGAGAGAGAAGTTGACCTTTCCAGCCACATTGTAAAAATCTCTGGATAGATACTAATTAAAGCAATTTTCAAGCAATTAATTGATTTTGTTTTTAATCCAGCATTATTTCTATATTTTGTTTTTAATCATTTCAGAGTAAGTAAGACAATAAAGCCACTAAGATGCAAGGAGTTACTGAGTGCTAGAAAATAGGGGAAAAATACAGCAACATTATTAAGGAGAGAGAACAATAAAAGAAAAGGAATTACAAAAGCAGAAGATAACATTTGAAATTGCATTTAAAGTTTCAAATATCAAATCAGACTGGGAAGCAAGAGGCTGGAAGAGATTATTCCAAGAATCTCTAAATATATAGCAGGAACACCAGACCAGATGTGGCAGCAATGTTTAAAGCAAGAACATCTGGTAGATTTATAAATATGTAAGATAAATTCTAGAGAGAAAAACTTTCTAGCACAGCACAAGGAACAAAACTACTATAATCATTATATTTAGTGGGTACATGTATTTGAGAAAAAAAAAAATGAAACTGCCAACTACAGGCCTGAAAAATGTGCTGCTTTACTAATAAAACCTATATTCTTTTTATCTTTAGAAAACCTGCTTTGAAACTAAATAAGCTTTAAAAAGGAGTAACTGAATCTTGCTTTGTTGTGAGGTCTCTTGTGGCTGAATGCTTATAGCATGAATACTATAGGACTTTCAAAGAAATTTCATCACTGTCTAGAAATCTTATTTTTTTATACACTTGTATTAAATTATTTGGGGTTTATTTAACTGAAATACTGCCCATATTTTTAACTGGTTATATTCTCATGTTCAATATGCCTGTGTTTTGGGGATGACTCCTGCAGCTGGCATACTTGGGATGACAACTTTTTAAATAAATAAATTCATATTCAAGTGAGTACCAAGTGTAAATACTGGACACATGGATGGTGTACATTTGGTTCTGAATTTCAGTAAGTATCTGGATACTAAAATTGTGGTACCAAATAGTGTTTTGTTTCATAAACAAAAATTGAACATTTGGGAGATTTTAATATATGCATGTGCTAAAATATGTTTACTAAGTCTCACGTCTTGGATTTTTGTCTCCCACAACACCCCCACTCAATTCTTTACTCTTGTCACCATTTTTTTTTTTTGTTTAAAGTGTTCCTTTAAACTTCAGATTATAACTGGTATTAATGTAGGCAACAATTGTATTGTCAGTGGTTTCAACTAGATATTAAAAAAAAAGAATTCATCGAACCAAAACTAGGTCTGTTCTTTTATGATGAAATTTGCCTGTAATGTGGTGTGAGATTTTATAAATTTAGAGAAAATAATTTAACTAAATAATGAAAGATTTTGTCAAAAAAAATAATGATGAAAGCTGGTTTTGTGCAAAACTAAGCTAAATCTAGAAAATATTAAAAAAAAAGGTGCCCATCTATAATAGCAGGTCATGTTAGAAAGCAAGGTCTTGTAAAAAAAAAAAAAAAAAAAGATAAGAATTATTTTTTTGAAAAATTTTTGTAGATTAGCATTCATTAGAGTACACAAGTAGCAACGTTTGTTTTTTGTTAGAATTGAAAAATATTGATTTTTTTTATCGATGTAAGTTGGGTCTTTTCATAAAAGCAATCTCTAACTTCTTAGTGTTTGTTATTGGACTCAGTTGTTATTTACAAATTTCAAACAAATATGAAACCGTGTTTACATCATTGATATCTGCATTTTTTTTTTTTTTAATTTTCTGAATTTTTAAAACGTTATACTTTTTTTTGGGGTGGGATTTTTTCGGAAGCATATGCACAAACATTGGGGATGATGATGATGATATATCTTAAAGAACAAACAGATATATAATTTTACTAATTTATTTTTTAAATTCTTTAAAAATATACATATTCGTTCTTGTTTTTTTAAGAAATATTTTTTGTAAAAAAAAAGTCTTTTTTCATACGTAGAACAGTTAATTCCAGATAACTCTGTAAAAAAAAAAGTCAGGGATCGATTTTACAAAGTACACACTGCATCAATATTATGAACAGGACCCCTGCATCCAAATGATAAGATAATGTTTCGATTTTGACAAATATCGATCCTTGAGGAAGGTTTAATGAATGCCAACCTACAAAATAAAAGTTATTTAAACATTTTTTTTTTTTTTTTACGAGTGGACTCATATTATTTTTTGACTTTACAGGGCAAAAAAAAGTATTTGTCTATTCTGCTTTTTTAAAATTCATTTCAAGAAAAAAGGTTGTTTTATAGGCTTAGCTGAAAAAAAAAAAAAAAAAAAGTCAAATGATAACTAAATTCCCTTCTCGAGATTTTAATTTTCTCTTGTCTTATCTTCAGTACAACTTAAGTCTTAAAGTTCACATGATTAACAAAAAATAAAAATAAAATGCATTTCATTCCTGTTAGTTAAGTTAGGAGACGTTTGTGCAGAAGACAGTGTTTTTAGTTTTTTTTTTTTTTTTTATTGTGTACTATTGTACTGTAATTTATTTCTACATTAAAAAAAAATGTTTTTTTTTTTTTTTACCTTTAAAAATGGTGTGGGTAGCAAGATATCAATCGGTACTGAGGAAAAGAATCTTTAGATTCCAATATAAATTAGCGAAAATATTTTTTCAATTGTAATATCCACGAACAAAAAAAAAGGGGGGGGGACTAAATGAGTGAAACTGAAAAAATAAAAATGGTATGATCAATATTCAAAGATCTCTAATCAAGTCCCAATTGAAAACTTAATTCTTTATTGTAGTGGTTAAGGGATCAGCGAGCATTCAACCAACAGCAACACTAAAAAACAAACAATACGCACAGGACAAGCAGGATTTATGTGGGCGAAAGAGGCAGGTTTTTTTTTTTTTTTTCCTTTTCTTTTTAATTTAAGAAAAAGTAAAAGAGAGAAAGAGAACCTATTCTTATATGCGATACGTAGAGGATCATTTATTCAAATATATTTTTCTGTGGAAAAAAAAAAATGAAAATGAAAAAGTAAAAACAAAGGTTTATAAATTTTAACTTATTGTCAACATTAATTTTAAAAAAATTAAAAATACAAACAGATGCGAAATCGCGCGAAAAGGCGGACAATGAACAAGTGAGTGTCATTGTAAAAACAAAATTAAAAAAATAAGTAAAAAAAACCAAAAAAAACAACAACAGTAGAATTTGCTTCCTAAAAGCGAAATGTAATGCATTTTAATCTCTAAAATACGTTTCTTTATTTATTAGAATGCATTCACAAAAAGATGCATTTGATTTTTTTTTCTAAGACGACACAAGAAGAAAAGGAGCATCAAAAAAAAAAAAAAAAAAAAAAAACGAAAACACTGATCAGTTATCGATGCCAGTGTTTTTAACTAAAATGAAATAACCATTGAAACTGGCATCTGTTTATAGAAAAGAATGATCTTTTATATTGGAAAGTAAAATATAAGCAGCTCTAAAACAAAAACAGATCAAAACTAATCGTCGCAATATTAGATTCCATTTTTCATTCATTCATTATTCCGAATATCGCGCATAAAAACAAAACAAAACAGAAAAAGTGACGCAAATTTAAGCATAATCTTTTTTCTTTTTATTTTTATGTAATTTAAAACACTTGATTGATTAAAAAAAATGCTGAATTGCTGTATTTTATGTATTTCTGACTGGAGCATCTTATTTCACCGATATTTGTAATAATAATAATAATAATAATAATAATAAAGCATTTAATGTCACGTTTTTAAACGACGTTTTCTCACGTGTATCGGACAAATTAATTTAAATATTCAAAGCCTAGTCGTGTTAAAGTAAAAATTTAATCAGCAGTTTTCCTATAATGCTTTTATTCAAGAAAAATTCTTTATGATTGCAAAATTATTAAAAAAAAAAGAAAGAAAAATTTTTAAAAAGGCAAATAATTGTTACAATAAATGCGCGATGTTGATAACAATATTGGCCGTCTTTTTCGAATTAAAAATCAATATGGCTTAATAAAGATTAATTGATGATTTATTTGATTTGAATTAGAAGGGTTTTATGAGTAGAATTAAAATTTTCATACATAAAAAAGATTAATAAAGCAAAAAGCAGTTGAATTTAAAACACCGACAAAAAAGTAAATATTTACAATATCGTAAAATAAAAAGATTCTTTATGTATGTCATAATCGATCCTTTTTATTTTTAATGATTTGAAAAATTAAAGTTCTTTTGTTCTGATAAATTAATTTTTAATTAAAAATTGTTTCTTTTCGCGGAGATGTAAAAAAACCTTTCTTCTTCTTTACACTGTGGCACCAGCATCAAGAATTCAAATGAATAAAAAAACAAAACATCAAGATGAATTGCTTGTTTTCATTAAAGAAAGAACCAAAAGTGAGATATAAACTTAAATAATAATAATTTTAAAATTCTTACTTCTAATCGGCCAATTAGCCAGTTGACATAACTCTTCGGCTACTTGGGCATCACAGCGAAACTCATTCAAACGGTCAGTTTCTACAGTGGACATGGCTTGTGCCATTCATTCAGTCTTTACCTCGTGCAGGTCTTCTATATTTGGTGTCCAATAGTCAAGAAGACTCTAAACACCTCCTTACTACCGTAGAATTATTATTCCTGTGTCGTTGTGGCTGATAATAAATAAGTGATCAAATAATGAATTAAGCACCCCTCCTTCTCCTCTCTCTTTCTCTCTATCCATGATCTTCGTCGATTCCTTCGGTAGTTTCCGGTAATCTTCGCCTTTGTTTGAATAAAGGAATCGTCAGGGATGTGGTTTTTTGTGGATGGCAACTGGTCTAAGAGAAGCTTAATTCAAAACCGATGAAGGCAATAGGATGTGGCTGAAATCATTTCCTTCAAAATTAATAACGATTTTATAGTAAAATTTTTTTCATCATGAAAACATTAATGATGAAAAAAAATAATCTGTGAATTTAAATAAAATTCTTCTTTTGTTTTGTCTTTTTTTTTTGTTTTCCTACTTTGGTGAAATTGGATGGTTGCAACTATTTTTGCTTTGTTTTTTTTTTTTACTAAGGCCCAAAAGCCACTCAAAGTAGAGAGATGCTAAATTAGGTTGTTGTAAGGGAATACACCATACAGGGAAGGAGCAAGAGGTGAGATTATATAGGATAGATAATGGCCAAGCCATGACTTTGTGGCGGACTTCACCACATTAATTTAACTTAGATTAGGAAACCAAATTGACGTGAAGAAAAAGAGGATAATCCAAAGACATCATTACACATAAAATTTGTATTTAACAAGATGTACAAACAAGGATGTGAAAGAATTGCATGCATTGAGTAAAATAAGAGTTCTCTCTCTTTAACTATCAATTGTTCCAAAGTTCACTGAAAGAAATAAGGTTGTAATAGTTTCTGGTAATAAATGTTTTCAACAGTTTTGCTGTGAAAGAAAAAAGATTATGTAAGAATAGGGAATATTCAGCATGCAAGTGGTGGTGTGAGTGAGAAGATTGGTGCATGGTTTCAACTGTATTGGATTCCTGTGGCAGCTGAAATCTCACTAATTTACTAAAAATAGTCTTTGCTTATATAGGTGATCATCGGCTCCAAAAGCACTGTGTGGGAAGAATCACTCTTCTCATGCAGACAATCTGATTGGTTGGCATTGACCAATCAACAAGTAAACTTTGGAGAGAATCACGAAAGCTTCTGGGATCCGATTCTCCCAAAAGTGCACAAAATCAATTACAAGAAAATATAGCGATTATAACATTATCGCATTACACAGTAGTGTTGATTTATTATCCAATGAATGCTTATTGTTTTATAATTTGAATTTGTGTAAGTATGTATGTATGTGGGTGTGTATGTGTGTGTGATGATGATCATCACAACTTAATTGGGAAACCATCCTCTCAGGAGTCCATTCTATAATACAACAGTTCTATATGTTGCTTAAACAGTTGCAATAGCAACCTTGATACAGCATATACAAACATTATATGATAAGATGCACTGAGATTTTTGTTTGTCACAGAGTACCACTGTTACAAGAACAGAAAGTATTATCATTTTCATGCCTCCTGATACATTTGTCCTCCAAACATTTGGTGGACTCATGTGAGTCTGGATAAAAAAATGATGACAAAACATAGAATTCAAACAAATAACAATTAACAAGTGTATTAAAAAAACAAGTGACAGAAGGATAAAGAAAGAAACAAAGTTGAAGTTATGAACAGTTCAATACGATCTTCAGTCTGTGAAGTACCTAATTGTCTTGTGTCTATCAGAGCAAAAGGAAATGTTTTTTGTCACTCCAAAAGTCAAAGGGAAAAGACGAAAAGCCTTTCAAATATCATACCACCTGTTGTTATTGTCAAGGAGTTGTAATCCAACACTACTCAATGTTTCTACAGTTGGAAAGTTATGCGAAAGGCTCAGGGCCAGATTAAGCTAAAAGAGCCTGTAGGATATGTTAAAAAGAGACCCTAAATTAAAAAAAAAATGCACATAAATATTAAATAAATTAGTTATTAGCATAGTGATAGAGCTTATAAAACAGGTAAATCTTTTAATGTTTAACAACATGATAAACAAACCAAGAAAAATATGAGGCAAATGATCCTAATACGATATTGGAATTAGGATAACGACCTAGATATAATGTTACCTGAAATGATGAATAATTAAAGATGCAGGTAAACATGAACATTGCCAGATGGTAAAATGCTGCTTTCACAAAAATGTTTGGTCTATAGTATTTGCTACTTTTGCTATTAGCAATCATCAGATAATCTGATGATCACTTAAGGTGTGAAACTAACAGTTACGATGCCGTGTTGATTTCTAACTCCACACTACCTAACTCTCGCTTACACACAGATGCACACACACATGAGTAAAGTTAATAAAGAAAAATTGTTGAGTGCACAAGTCAGGAGATGAAATAAACTTTTAAAAGCAAAACATCTACTCAAATATGGGTATCCATTAAAATAATGTTTTAAGTAATAAAAATATGTCTGACTAAAAAATAAAAACCATTAATTCTTTAGAAATTGCTTTGTTTATGTTTCAGATATAAAACTGAACAGTCTTGGGTATGATGATAAACTACATCTGGCAGCAAGGCCTCTGATCAAGAGGTTTTGAGGTGCATGGAAACAGTTCTTAATTGCTGCTGTTCCCAGGTCCACCCTGACTCAGAATGGTAGCACCTGTTAGGGTATCAGCTATGAGCAAATAGTGAACCTCGAAACAAAAATAAAGTACTATGAAAGTATAAAAAAAAAATACATCTTTATAGTAAAAATGCCAGTAATACATTTTTATATTAAAAAAATAACCAACATTTATTTATAGTAAAATTACCAACAACACATTTTCAAAGTAAAATGGCCAGCAACACATTTTATAGTAAAATTACCAACAACACATTTTCAAAGTAAAATGACCAGCAATACATTTTATAGTAAAATTACCAACAACACATTTTCAAAGTAAAATGACCAGCAATACATTTTATAGTAAAATTACCAACAACACATTTTCAAAGTAAAATGACCAGCAACACATTTTATAGTAGAATTACCAACAATACATTTTATAGCAAAATGACATTTTATCTGTAGTCAAAGGTATACATTTAAATTCAAAATATACTTAGTCGAAGCCATAAAATTGTGTTCAAAATATTTAAAATTCAGCATTAAATAACCCATAGAGGTATTGATATGCTGCTAAACCAATCAACCACCTGAAACTGAGCAGATATATAAAAATATTTTTTATTGATTTCAAACTGTATTATCACCATGGAATTTCTGGGTTCAGAAAACATGACTCATAGCTTCTATTGAAGAAATTTTGCTGACATTACAATTTTATTGGCCTAGCAACTAGCAGTCACCTTGACCCTTCAAAATTTTCAATGGTATACCTACATAACTCATCCTGGTGGCCTGAGAGTTAACTCTCTCTGCCAGTCAACACCCAGCCCTTCTGGAAATACCCAGGTTAAGAATAAAATCACCACCAGCCAATTACTCTCTTTAAAGTTGTCATCATGAGGACTCTACAAGACTTATTTAAAGAATTTAAATAATTCACAAGGGGAGTTGAATATTATTGCCTTCATATCATATTGTGCTCCCAGCCTAAATTCCTGGCTGTGTAACAAGAGTGAACAACTCCAGATTCAAACACAACTTATTATTAGTGATTCCAGAGTCAACAAATTCTTAGCCGCAGTACTAAACTTCAAAGACCAAGATATCCTTCATCCAAATACAACAGCAATATGGGAAGGACCCTTTCAAATTGAAGTATTTTTTTCTCGTACTATCACATTTTCTATCTTTGGAACTTTTCAAGTATTTACTCGTTTTCTGTAAATTAACAATATCGAATATTAATGCATTTGTCTACATGTGTTCAGGAACCTACCTGTTTTTTTTTTTTGCATCCATGTGGTAATATTGTTGTTCTTTGAAAGTGTGTTTCTACCCCTCAAGGTTAATTTGATTTATGTTTGTTATTTGTGATGGAAAGGAAAGGTTTTAATTTTTTACAACATATATGATGAATGTAATCATCTTTTCCTGATTTAATGAATTTTTTTATTGACCTAAAATTCCAAGGAAGTGGTGATAGAGGAGTGAGAGGCTTGCCACATCCTGTCTGTGAGAGAGAGATTGCAAGGTGGAAAATAGTTTGTCACGCACAAGGACAGGGAGATGCTTCTGAACTCTGACACTGGAAAGTGAAGATTGCGCAGCTCCAGCCCAAATATGACAGCAGTACTTCATTTTCGGTCTGATCTGGCTCTTGTAAAGCTAGAAGATAGCAGGAGGAGTCAGGTACTTACTGGAACGGTACAGAGAACTGAACATTTTACTTGTATCATTAGTGATGGATCATATGTACAAGTTCCACTTGAGGTCTGGAGGTAAGTTTAAGGCCCAATACTCGCTCAAGACATCCCCCACCCCAAAGGGGACATCCATTCATTGTAATTGGTGGTAGTTCAGCGCCTGATCAGCAATGATGGAACATAATTAGTTTAGTTTTCAAGACACTGAATGTAACCAACTATTTTTTACCCCACTAAGATGTTAGAGCTAAATCAGATGAGAGATCATCTCCCAATCTGTCATCTTTACTATTTATATATATATATATATATATACACACACACAAGCTAAATTACCCACGCCAAGCTGCATGTCACATTTTTTTTGCAAGAAAATGATGATTGATTTTAAATCATTGTTATAATTTGTAGAAAATAATGATGCATTTCAATATTACTCAATTGTGACCTCCATCTTCTGGCTTTCTCCTTCTATATTTTGGATAGGATTTATTCCCTTATTCAAAGTTAAACTTAATTTATATCAAATGAAAAATTTTTCAGTAAGGTCTTTGTGCACCCCCAGATCTCCCTTTGATCAAAATGAAATATACTTACCCAAGTACACCAGGATGTTCCCTTGTTCAAATTTAAATTTAATTTATATCAAAGTGAAACAATTTCCAGTGGGATAGT